TGGCGAGTTTTCAGTGACTACACGTTTCACTCGATCTGCATGGGATCTATAGACGCGTACATTCGTATTCGCCTCAGTCAGGTACCACATTCCGTTAAAAAAGTTGTTAAATCGGCGACTCCTAGCAGATGTGGCAAATTCCGCTGCCACGGAGGGACGACCAGAGTACTCGATGTCAAAAACCCGAACTTCGGAATCGCCAGCACATGAAACGAGGGTCCGATCATTGGAGTGGGGCATGAATTTCACGGAGAATATATTGGCGGAATGTCCTGTTTGTATGGTGGTATTTAGGAAGAAGGCAGCAGTGGATGATTCAGGCTGATAGGAGTAGATATTCAAATGCTGATCATCGGAGCCGGAGGCCAGGAGCTTCCCAGACTTTGACCAACTAGAGGTGGGCACATTGTCAGCCGGGACTCTATTTATCACATCCACATGCAATGAGAAAAGGTATTTCTCAAGTATACTCAGCTTCCAGGTACGTAGGTAGCCACGGAGGTGAGGGACAGAGACAGAGGCCACCGAATAGCGGACAGTACCTTAAAGCGTTAACGCAACCAGTGTGTCCACCGAGCTCATTAACAATATCCATATCATCTATCCAAGCCTTATCGCCATAAATTCCTGCGATGCTGGCGTACGAAGTATCGTCCCCAAGCTCCCGCCTAAGAAGACGCCTTTCCAGAACAGATTTCATGACGAGAAGATGAAGATGGAGAAGATCTCACAACGCACTTGAGAGGAAATTGGTCAGCTTCTAAAGAATCATCAATAGAGAAGGTCGCAGCAGTCCTTCTTGGGATCAACCCGCATCAACGTCAGCATTGGATGCTCCGGATGCAAAAAAAAAAAAAAAAAAGGGTTGATGCTTCAAATCCAAAGAGGGCTCGGGATGCCAGTCGTGCGAAGGTATTCTTGTCTTAAGGGATTCTGGGACAGTATGAAGCTCTGGTAGAACGAATCGAAGCTTTTTGGCTCAGCAAAGCACAACTCTAATACCCGGATTCGCCGTGGTTGGAGAGGATGTTGTGGAACTTTCCACCGTTGAAGAGCAGCGTTGGATGTCGAAAGGGGATGATGACAAGTTAACTCACCACGCTCTCACTGGATGAGATATCGAGAGTTGCTGAGTGCGGAACGCTTCCTTTTAAGCAAGGAGATTGGTATAACTGGTAGCTATCTCTGATGCTGGAGGAAGAGGCTGGCGGGATGGAAGCTTCCATACAAACAAAGACAGACAAGTGGTTCGAGATAACCAACCAACCATCACGTGAACGTCTGCTGGGTGACATCATCAACCCTCATAACTAAACGTTACTGGGTGCTAGTAGATCTTCCGCTTCGAGGATCCACTTCATACAAACTTACAGAGATAACACATATTCAAGAGTGTTATCTCGTCGGTGTTTTGTATCTTCGCAGTTCTATCATATAATAGATTCTGTCCCAATGACCCTTTGGCAATTCAGGACCAAGGATCTTATCCCCTGTGTATTGAACTTTACACACATCAGATTGGAAATTACTAGCCTAGTAAATCAGGGCTACAGAGCCTGCTTCGGTGATAGTCTCTGTAGCGACAACTGCAGAGTGTGCAATACGATATATTATGTTTTCAAAAAGCAGAATAAATCAAGAGAAAAAAAATATTGAAACAGCCCTCTCACGCCGTCCATCATCAAAAACCTGGTATCACATTAACAGTCACCCATGAAACTCCATCAGAGCAAGAATGACGAACCAAGAGAGACACCAGCAGGTCCAACGAAGCCTTCCAATAGCCCACCTTAAATCCACAAATCCCTATGCCAAAGCCCAGACAGGCTGCCTTCTCCGCCTTTCAGCAGCAGCAGCAGCACCACCACCACCACCTCCTCCTCCTCCTCCTCCTCCACCTCCAGCATTGGCAGAGACGGAAGCAGGCCCCAGCCGATCAACCACCTTGCTAACCCACAACCTCTCCAACACCTCTACATCCACCTCAATCGCACTCACAATCTCCAATTCCTCAATCATCGACCGCAACAACAACTTATGTCCACGCACAGTGCGAATCAGCGCTGAAGAGGGCGGGTATTTACCCTTATCCTGTCCATCTCCCCGAACATCAACCTCGAGGCAATCCAGCTCTCTAGCGCAGAGAACCAGCTTCGCGCTCAGCGCAGCCACTTCCTCTTTCCACTTAGAGCTGAGGGGATCTATGAAGTCGCAGGTAGTGGCCGCGTTGTCGCTATAAGCATCCTCGACATCGTCATCACCATCGTTACCATTAGCGTTCCCGTCAACCGCCAGCTTCTGATACGCATTCCCATTCTGCGTGCCTTTACCCCTCCCGCTCCCGCTCCTGCCCCGTCTAACCCTCTCTACATGCTCAAACCACCTCTCAAAGACGCGTATGCAATCCACATGTCTCCCGCCACGCACATCCGTTAGCGCAGCGACATCCTGCACAACGCGCGACAACGCCTGTATCTGCTCCGCGAAATCGTAGTGACTATGACTATTACGACCTCTATTATTCCGATTCGCCTGGATATCCTCCGCTAACCGGTCCAGGGCTAGCTTATTGACATAGCGCTGTGCCCCTTGCTCTTGAGCGAGGAGAGTGTGATACTTGGACACGACGGATTGGTGCTGCTTGCGCAATTTGTTCTTGGCACTGCATTCCCATTCTAGTCGGGCATGGAGAGAGTCTGCGTGGAGGAGGTGGAGTTGAAGGAGTTCAGTTTGCAAGGCTGTTATTTGCAGATTGGTGTGCGAGGATGTATCGGTCCCGGGTCCGGTTTCGGTCACACTCGTTGAAGATGCAGAGGCGATAGGGATGGGTGGCTTAGTTTTCAATCCCCTTTTGGGACTGTAGTGTTGCTGAAACATAGAGAACTGTGGCTTGGCCGCCTTTGATGATGGGGTTGTGCTAGTTGTTGCTGTCGTTGTGTTGCCATCGCTCTGTTTCACACTTGAACTCGTATGACCTTTCGTCGTGGAGACAATTTGGCTTTTGTGTCGCGAATGGTTTGTTTTCGCCACCCTCGACACAACCATAGGTTGTCGTAACGACGCGGATCTCTCCAATCGCGTTGCGTTTGTGGTTTGAGGTTTCGGAGGCTCCGGTTTAGGCTGGTTCGTGTTCACCGACCCGGATCTTTCGCGTCTTTCCAGTCGAGGCGTAGGTCTGCTTTGGGGTCGTGACATCTGCGAGGTTGTCGTGTTTGCGGAGCTTGGCCTCTCCATCCTAGCTATATGTACACTCTGCGATCTCGATAACTGGCAGTTAGTCGTACTCGAAGAGGCCGGTCTCTCAAACCGGTTAATAGGTGCGTCCTGAGATTTTGATGAGTCTAACTTGGACGCATTCGCCGATCCTGGCCGCTCTAATCGACCCGTAGTTCCTCCGGCATGGTAGTTCATAGAACTCGCCGTTGGTCTAGCTAGTTTTGATAGCGATAATTTGGAAGACGATAGCGGAGGCGCCGTCTGCTCACTCAAGTCCGGTAATTGAGCAGGGCCATCAGTAGATCGCCCAGGGACGGGCGGGTGGATCGCCGTCGCTGGAGTCTGGATCTCCTGTACATCTGCACCTCGTAGCCGTTGTAGCTCAGTGTCCTGCAGCTGCGGCTGCAACCTGCCCGAAGAAACACTTCCTGCACCCTTCTGCCAACTACCCCGTTGTGGCAAGAAGCTGCGACGACGGGCTGCTAGGGCACTATCGCCACCATTGCCACCGCTATCTTCCCTTCCTCCATGGCTTGTTGTTGTGGGTGCTGCTGCTGCTGCTGATGTTGCTGCTGTTGCTGCTGTTGCTGCTGTTGCTGCTGTTGCTGCTGTTGCTGCTGTTGCTGCTGTTGCTGCTGTTGCTGCTGTTGCTGCGGTTGTGGCTGGCTGAGGAAGGCCTGAAACAGGCTGTGTATATGAAGGTAATTTGAAATTGCGAGGTGGTGCGGATGCCGACGACGTGGCCGACGATGCAGTGTTCGAGCGGGCTTCGATTGTTCGGGGACGTTGGGCTTCGGGGATCTGTGCTATGTGCACGCGTGAATCAGTAAATAATACTTCTCTTGCGGTTCAATTCTTGTCTCCGCTTTCTCACTCTTCGAATATCAGGTAACGACCTCTGCCAGGGATCAGGGAACTCAGAATTTCTAGCATACCGCTTCTCGATCAAGACCAGCAGGTTTCTGTCTGATACGAGGTTCGCGGAGGGAGAGGCTCCGCATGGGGATTGGCATGTCGTTGGAGGAGGAGGAGGAGGAGGAGGAGGAGGAGGAGGGAGTGGCGTTGGACAGGATCCACGAAGAGGCCGTTCGGAGCTCAGTTGAACTCGAGTTTCTTCTGAGACCGAAGTAAACAAAAGCCGGCGCTGGATGTTGGTCAGCTTACATATTTAGTAAACTAGTTAGTTGGTTAGTTAACTGGTTTACACCAACCCAAAATTTTGTATCGCTCTCTCGGGGCAGTTGGCTGGGGCTGGGCCAACAAAAGAATCATTGACTTTAACCAATCCCAATTTAAACAGCATCAAACAGGGCAATGCACAGTTGGGTTCAATTAGTTTTGGAACCTGATATTGAACAAATAAACTTGGTCGGTTGTTTACCCGATGAAACATTAAGAGTCACATTACAAACAGGACGCAAATATTCGGATCTCCCGAGGAGACTGCGAGATGACTACCTGAGATTATTAGAATTAGGGGCCTGGGTCCAAGCTGGAGGCTATGGTCGATGAATCTATCCTAGGACTCTGTTTCTTGGGCTTGGGAATCCGTCTCAATGAGAAAAGTTCTTAAAGCAAAAGGTTAAGGAGCAAGGAGCAAAGAAAGCCATGCAATATACACCCTGCAATCAAAAAGTATTTTGCTGCCCGAAGCAGCCCCCCGGGAGCTCCCTGGATGCTCCAAACACAGACCCCATGATGTGAAAAATAAATAAATAAATAAATAAATAAATAAAATATAAGACAAAGGGAAAATGACGGCAACACTCGTTCCATTCGCAAAATCATAGATGCTCCTTTAAAGGAAACGAAACCCCTTCCACAGCACTGCTATCCGTAAACCAACTCACTTTCTCCGCACCGCCCGCATTGACCAGCGCACAGGGAAGGCTCCTCCCTTCCTCCGTGTCAAAGATCTGTCTCAGGATCTCCTTCTTCCCCGCACCCATCGCCACAAACGCGATCCTCAACCCGTGGGTAACAACAGGCAGCGTGAGCGTAATGCGCTTGGGCGGGGGCTTCGGTGAATCCGAAATGGGCGCAACCCATGCAACTGATTCGCGGAGCAGTTCGTGGCCAGGGAAGAGACTGCACGTGTGTCCATCCGGACCGCAGCCAAGCAACAAGAGGTCGAAAACAGGCAATTTGACGCTATCCTTTGCAGCGAAGGAGTGCATCAGTTCCTCCTGGTACCGGTCTGCCACTTCCTGCGGATCATCGTCGTCGATATGCGCGACGTCGATGGGGTGGACTTTCGGCCTCCCCAGCTTTGCGGGGATCTTATTGATCAGCTCTGTTTTGACGAGGTGGTAATTGCTCTCTTCGTGGTGGAGGGGGACCACCCGTTCGTCGGCGAAGAAGATTTCCCAGGTGGAAAATCGCGGCGTGTCGTCGTCGGTGCCATCGCTGGAGGCGAGAAGGGCCTTGGCGAGGACTGCGGGGAGAGAGCCGCCAGAGACGGCTACGCGAAAGACGCCATGTCTGTTGATGGCCGTGTTCTGGGACTGCAGGACATATTTCCGGAGATGCTTTGCAAGAGTGTCTGTGTCCGGGAAGGTGTAGAGATTTGGCATTCCTCCCACCATGGTTTGGCTGAAGCTGGAAATCGAGAGTGAGAGAGGGGGGTAAGTTGATTTGCAGTGGTTTTAGCTTGTCGCGGGGCAGTTTAACTAGTGGGAGTAAAGTAACGTACCCAACTAGTGACGTAGACGTACAGGCAGCTACTGGGGCAAATCTCGTTGAACACACGCACACGGGAACAGAAGGAAGATATTCGGTCGCAGCTGGATATCACCAGATGAACAGAAGAGAGGGCGTCGTCCACGTACGATTGAAACTAAGGTCAAATGGGATGGAACAATCAGCGGAGGCGGGAAGAAGTTTGAGGATGAACTTCCTCTGGTTGCACTCAACTCTGTCTGCATCCTTTTCAGCGCGCTCTGCAACTGATCTGGCAGCCTAAAATTAATCAGATGGGGCTCCACAAAGCCTCTCCTTTTCTGAACACTAAATACCTTTCTTTCGAGAGAAGTTTGTTCAGAAAGAGACCGCCTCAGAGTATACAGAAAAGCCCGGACTATTAGAAAACTCTTGTTAAGTTAACTCATTAATAATATATTTTGTTATAACTATTTTATATTTATTTATTTTTGATATTTTTTTTTTTTTTTTTTTTACAAAGTTAATTAATTATCAGTTATCAATAAATTGTTGCATTTAAAGCTTATCTAGTTACATCTTAGATAACTAATTAATTAACTAACTATTAAGTTAAATAAAATGAAAGATTTTAAAAACATCCATAAAAAAATAAAATAAATTGATGTTAATAATATAATTTAAAAGAAATTAATTAAAAATTGTTAAATTATTAACTTTTACTTTCTTTATAATTTGAAATAACATTAGTTATTTGAAAAATACTCCCATTAAACAAAAGTGCTTGGTTGTAGCTGAGCTGGCTGATTGGGTTGGTTTTCACAACTGCTTTTTCGCCTTATCGCCCATCACGTGAATCAATCCGACGAACTTTCGTGGCTCGCTTTCGCTTTTGCTTTCGCTTTCGCTTTCGGCCCTCGCTCGCCCGCTCACCCGCCTTGCGTGAGGGGGGGAGTCGTTTTCGACACCGGGATGCGACGATCGAGAGAGAGAGAGAGAGAGAGAGAGAGAGAGAGAGAGTCAAAGCAAGAACGCTGTCAGCTCTTGCACCTGGATGCCATCTTTGTGGACAAGTGGATATGAAAGTGGCTCTTGATTCTGACCCTGACACCACCTTTGATGATGATGAGGGGCCAGTTGCCCCCAGAACATTATATTATATATACATCATGTAGCCCCCAAGCAAAGAGCCTGGATGTTCATGCAGCTTCGACAGTAGCGGAACAGCGACCGCACTCGGGAGAATCTCAATGAGACCCATGTGTGCTGGGGAGCGGGAGGTAAGTTTTCCCGACCGTCAGGTTAGGTAGGGCTAGCTGGCTAGCTGGCTAGACTTGTGTCATAATAGTTTGTGTGGATTCTGGGAGTTGAATATTTTCAGTTCCAGTTCAAGTGTTTTTTTTTTTTTAAAGAATTATCAAATCATGAATCATGCATTGAAGCGCTTCATTTGTAGCAAATAACAAATACACTATTATAAGCCCCTCTTTATCACACTGGGCGGCAACTGATCGACGCGAATCTAGAACTTCTGCTGGTGTTCTCAAAATTTAATCACTCATCAAAGCCTCAAGAAACCCTCAATTTCAACCAGAGAGCAAACGCTGATACCCCATCCTTTTTTTTTTTTTTTTTTTTTTTTTTTTTTTTTAAGAACACATCTAACGTGTTTCAAGATATCATTCCCCGCTTGACAGTTGACTGGCCGAGTGTTGTTCCAATGTGTGCATTGAAACCCTTCCAAAGTTTGCTGGGCATCCTCCGGGTCATTGCATAGCCAAGGAATCAGCAAAAAATGGGGTTTGGATTGAAAGTAAGGAACTCTCAGCATCTGTGATGCTTGCAGTATTGCTCTCTAATGGGATCATCTCCATGTTCGCAGCTGCCCGCCATGGCACCTACAAAGGCCTTCTCAGGGAATTCTTCTGTTGTCGCTTTATCCTTATCATCAAGAAAGGAGATGGTCAAGAAGTGGTCAGACTTCTGCGTCACGACTGGTTTCGCATGGAACATTCGCGTCTGAACCCAATTGCTCCTGGCTGGATTCTGTCTGCTTTGGCTGGGGTGGATTGGGGGAAATCCCTTATCAATTGATTGGACCATGGATTTGCACCATCAGCATCAGCACCAGATGGTATGGCGTCCAGAGTTTCGTTGGTTACAGCACCAGTACTGCTGGCTAAAGAAATATCAGGAGTCTCCATGGAGGCCTGGGCGGCGTCCTTCATAAGGGGCACTGGACTGGTCTTTCGACTTCTGCCGCAGGCTGCGTGGGAGGTCGCCTAGGGAGTACAAGCCGATGAGGCCGCTTGACGCGAGACCTTGCTCTTAGCCTCGTCATCTTTCTAATGGGGCTGGCCCTGGGGATGCTGTGGATCAATGAACGACGGACAAAAGAATGATAAGCCCGGTTTGAACAGGCTTGAGCGCCTGGGAACAGTTTTCGCGACACCATTTTTGGTGGCGCTGCGGAATCCAGCTTCTCGTAGCGGAGACGCGAAAATCTGAGTGACGCAATGTAGAGAGTGCGTGCTGAGGGTTGGAAACAGGAGGTGAAAATGTAAATGAGAAAGCAATTAAAAGGAAAATGGGCTCCAATGGGAGAGAGCCCATCTTTATTTATACTCAAGGCCCAAGAAGTGGTCCCGAGATTGTGCCTTGCTGTTGACAAATAGGCTGCGAATCAGGTTTCAGGAGCTCCCTGGTTAAAAAATATTGTTGCATGTGGAAAAGACTGTATTTATTTGACAAATGTGACACTGAATCTGCATTAGCCTATGATATCCGGGTTTTTCTGTGCATCCTGAAGCTCCTTGATCATATTCAGGTGGAGATGAGGATTCAGTCTCTTCCATCGTTCGCCGCCCGGAAAGACAAGCCGACGTAACCGTTTCACACAGGGGATCAGGGATTGATAGTATGGAGTGAAATTAGTTTCTGCAGCCTTTAGAAAATCCCCTTCACCATTTATCAAGCCTTTTTTTGCCTCTGCCAACTCTATTGTATTCATATAGTTCCATTTCTCAAAGCGTCCTCCGTCTCTCCCTTTGTTCGGTCCATCGTAGTGAATGCATATCCAGAAGAGCACCCAGAAAAAAGACTCCAGATCGTGCATAAAGCAATGGTTTTCACCATATAAGACACCAATAGCCATGAATGCCCTGGTACCAGTCTTGCCCCGCGCGCCGGAGGACCTGTCCCGCTGCTTTTTGATGGCCAGATCAAGGTCAATCAGAAAAGCACGCCATGAAAGGTTGTCATCATCCTCATTCACCATCAGATTCCGAGGGGAAATGTCACTTTGGACAAGACCGGCCTTGTCATGGAGCGACATATAACCTTCAATGCAACCTGCCAGCCCACCAAGCAGAACTGCCTTCGAGCTACTCTCATAGATAGGCTTTCCATAGTCCTGGACAATCACGCGACGATGCACTCGGTTTGGTGGGTTAGATTCCACTGTAGGTTTAGGAGAAGAACTCGACTGGGTACGTTTACTTGGAGGGGGGGGGGTGGTCGTGTCCACACAGTCAAAAGGTCTTTTCTGCCCAGCAGTGCTGCCTTGGCTCTTCTGTCCTCTCTGAGACCTGCTGCGCCGCCCTTTCACCTTCGAGCTGCCTTTGTTATCATTCAATGCTGGAATATTTAGACCCTTTCGAATAGTCAAAACATCGTCCTCCTTGCCATTGATGCAAACCGTCTCATGGTGATAATATCTCGCAACATTCTTGACTCCACTCTTCATCGCTTCTTGCAACAACTTCCCTTCCTCAGTGCGCTCTGGGTATTGCCATGAGTCCTTGACCACCAGTGGTGACTGTGACTCATCGGCCTCACGGTGTGCCTTCCAGCAGGTTGTGGCTCGCCCAGCAATGCAGCGTGCTCGTCCAATGAACTTGTCGATGATCAGCCGTTCCTTCACACCGTCCTTCTCGATCTTGATATACCGTTCAAACCCGATGGTGACAATGGTCGGATCAAATCCAAGCTGCTCCCGGCTCATCAGAAGGAAACCAAGAACAGTGGAAACAAATTGAAGGCCATCCTTGTTGATGTCATAATTCTCAGACGCAATTCCACCCAGACGGTCAAAGTTCCACAGTCGCAGGAATGGCCCACACAGGGTGAACCCAAGAACAAAACGGCGGCTGTCCTGCGCGGCAAGAACCTCTCTGGCATACCTTCCCAGATCATAATACGATCCTGAGGGACGGTCATATCGTGGGTCGTTCTTAAGCTCTCCTGGCACCAGGATCTGCCGCCAATGGCACCTGGAATTCTCTGTGGCGTTCACAACATCAACAAAGCCAATGTCCAGTTTTCTCTGCGCGATGGACCCCTGCATTGGCCGATGTGGCTGTGCGAGCGGCCTCCGGTCAATCTTCAAGGTTGGCTCGTGAGTCTCTGCCATCTGCACCAGCTCACCAATAATCTTGGCCAACCAGCTGAGGACATCCCCTTCTGCCGCCTGTTCGGGCCAGTCCCGCCAGCCATTGTTGTCATTGTAGAGGTTTGTCCCCTTGCACTTTTCAAACACTGCTCGCGCAACTACATCAAGATGTGGTATGTCCCCGAAGTATGCATTGAAGAACCCAGGAATGTCGGTGTGTAACTCTCCAAGCTCCTCCTTCAGCACGGCGTCAATGTAGTCTCGGTGTTCTGTCGAGTTGGCAAAACTGCTAGTGTTGCGCAGCCAGGGTGTTTGTTGGATTGATGATACAGGGGGAGAAGGTGGAGTGGCTTGTGATACAGTGTAAATGAGGCTGAAGACAGCTTTCCAGATGTCGACGTCGGCAGCTTTTTGGATGACAAGCTGAACTAGTGGCCGATAGTAGCGGTAGTTGAAAAGGTCAGGTCGGAGATGCTTAAGTGTTACTTCTGCTAAATCTGAATCGATATTTTGATCGGTAATCCGAGAGCGAAGATTGAATGCCGCGTCCTCTCCTTGTAAAGCAGAGAGGAGTTTTGTAATCGCATTTCGATGGAGTTGGACCCGTTTGTCAGTGGCACCATCATCAGAAATAGACCACGACGCGTGAGTTCTCTCCGCCTCCTGAAGCAAGCCGTGTAAATCACTGAATGACTTGGTTAAAGGATGCTTTTTGATGATAGCGGTTTCATCTGGTGATAGTTCTACCATATTACCAACACAAGGAAACAGAGTAAAATCCCAGCCAGCTGCTGCTTGGGTGCAGGTGTTGAAGAAGGGTACTGAATTGGAGTTGGTCAACAAACAATAAATAACATCAACATTTTGTCTCTGGACATTGTAGGAAGTTAAGTTAAGGTTCAAACCGAACTTGGAGCTTGGGTTCAAAGGAACTTTGGAACTTTTTAGAAATAACCACAGGTTGCGAGACTCCAAGCTTCTGAGGTGTAGCAACATACATTGTTCGAGCGACTTGTGCATTTCTCCCAAATTCGCCCATCAGATAGAGGAGATTTCTAAAAACTCGGGTTGGTGTCTTCCAAGGAGGCCTGACCGAAGCTCATCCGATCTGTAGGCCTAGCCCCCTGGATCAGAAGCCGTCGTCGTAGCCGCCTGGGGACTTGGTCCAGTCATCTCAAATACTGGCCAGCGGGTGTCGAGAGAGAATGATTTCTGCTTCTCTGTGGCCTCTACACACGGGTGGGCGCTTCCATCATGAATGTGGCCATTTATGATTGATTGATTTACTTGGCTCCGGCATCCACAGTAACATTATTGTTCAGCAATTTCTAAACACAGGCTCTCTCTCCAGAGATAAAATCTCTTTTCTAGGACCTTGAAAATGATTGAGATACATCAACAATACAAGCCCCTTCTTGATCCCACTTTTCCCCATCCAATGCTTATATATATATATATTGTAGATAACCAACTGGCTAAAAGCTAACATTTATTTCATCTTTCCTCTCTGTGTTGAAAGCCTCTCAGACGAGAAAGGACTTGTCTCATCATGTAAAATGCTGTTGATTAATTAGTTACCCAGCTCTGGAGAGCAATCTACGAAACCGTGACAGACAGACAACCCGGCGGAGCGCATATCCCGCGCCCGCCAACCAACCAACCAACCAACCAACCAACCAACCGTGCGCGGCGTTGGCAACGTCTGGGCATGGCCAGCTTAGTGACTTGCCACTAACCTTCCAGATCTCGCTGACCCCGACGAAAGGGGCATGAGTCTTAGGAGAACCCTCCCTCTTACTCCTCTCCCCCCTGGCCTGATTCGACCAGGGCACTCTGAGTGGCGGGGCTTCGGTTGATTCTTTCAACGAATGAATGATCCTTGTCCTGCAAGCTACAGACTGTGGCTTCAGAAAGATCATCTACACTGCCTCACAATTCGGCTGTCATTAGACCGCATACCAACGCCGTCCAGAAGGGGGTTGGCTTCGCAGCCCTTGTTGCGTCTCAAGCGTCTCACCTGCATTCCAAGCGAACAAACTGAAGAGAGTCACGACAAACCAATCCGGCCCACTATGGCTTTAGAGAGTACCTACGGTCAAGCCCGCTTGTTGCTGAGCCGTATATTTAACACCAAATTGGCGTCCCAATTACTGCTCTGGCAGCCTTATATAGACAGGCGTAACATTATCAAACACAGAGGGTGGGCAGGGTCTCACTTGACACGGTTTAACCTGGTCCAATGGACCTTCAAGCAGCTCCTGTTCCATATTTTTCTTCCGATGGGCACAACGAACATACAGGCAACTTAAGGCATGCTGGGTCATCGGAAAAGCCAAAAGATTCCTCGAAGATGGGGGTATCTGAACGGACGAGGAAGAGCCGCAAGTGCCCATTCATCCAATTTCTTAACGTGTGCCAACTATATTGACTAACAGCGCCTCTACCGAAAGCTATTTTTTTTAATTTTTAATTTTTTTTTTTTTTTTTAATTATAAGCTTCCGAAATTAACCACTGAATCTGTGGCTTCAGGCTGAGAGAAAAAGGACAGACTAATGTAAAAATGCTTTCGGCATATATAACGCCATCTCACCCCCGACGACCCGCGGACTTCGAGTAAGCGCGCAGTCAGAATCTCCTGTTGTTCCCCCGTTAAAGGCCCAAAAGCGCTGGTGTGGGCAACGATGCCATATTGTATACCCGCATCTGACGACTATACTTCAAACCCGAGCGACAGCGACAGCGACAGCGACAGCATTACGGCCGCCGCCGCCGCCGCCTATTCCCTCCAGGCCCGGACCTGCCTCTGATGTTTCTCGGTCGCCATCAGCGGGCAGCTAGACGGCGCTCGCATAGATTATTATTCTGTGCATTGCTATGCGCTTCTCTAATGATGATATACTACATCTTCATTCCGGGAGCGGTGCCTCCGCCAGCAGGGCTTGTTCGGCCAGATTCCCACGGCATTCCACTAGCAATTGTGGTGGGCAAAACGGTGGGAGAGAATGCGAATTGGGCATATAAGATGTTTCCGGAGTTAGTATACTAACATGTCCCCAATGAATAACCTGCCATAAAAACTTGATATATGTATATATACATATACCAATTTCTTTCTTTCTTTCTTTTTTTTTTTTGGGTTTTAGTAATTAGATGCTTCCCCAAAAAAAAAACCAGATGGACCCCTTTCGTCTACAGCGTCGACAACGAACCAGGCTATGGCCTCCACGTGCCCAACCGCGGCCGCGAGTCCATGCCCTACCTCACCTTCATAATCGACCACTACTACGACCTCCCGGATATCGTCGCCTTCATGCATGCCAACAATCGGCAATGGCACAACCAAGATATCAGCTCGTACAACGACCGAGTTCTCCGCAGCCTCCGCCTCGAAACCGTCCGGAAAAGAGGCTACGTGAACCTGCGCTGCAGGATCCGTCCAGGTTGTGAACCATCCAGCGTGCTCCCGCATCACCCGACCTTCGTCGATATCGATCGCAACGATACCCGCTCGCGCTTTGCTGATATCTATGCGAAATTGTTTGAGCTGGACGATGTGAAGGACGTACCACAGGTCATTGGCGGGGTATGCTGTGCACAGTTTGTGGTGACGCGGGAGCGAATTTTGCAGAGGCCGTTGAAGGACTATGTGCGGATGAAGGACTGGGTGTCGTCAGGGTCCCGGCCGATGAATGATTACGATGTTGGGTGGGTGTTTGAGAAGATTTGGCATATTATTTTTGGGGAAGCGGCGGTATCGTGAGTTGGCCCCCCCTTTTTTTTTTTTTTTTTTTTTTTTTGGGTGGCCCAGGGGCTTTATAGATATATAAACAACATTTTAAACCACAACGAGTAAATGCCTGACTGAACCCGTTTTGTCTCATGCAGCTGCATAACCGAGTCACAATGTCTCTGCGACCTCTATGGCAAATGCAAACCATCCCGCCGCCACAGGAAAACCACCAAATTAGCATTTGATCCAGTTTCATGATTTTTTTCTTTCTATTTTCTCTTCTCTTTTACTACCCCATTCTCTCCGCACCATCTCTCCATCAGATACCCACATTGTATACCCGATGTCCACCCTCCATTTCTACTCCATCCATGCGAGCGTACTCCCCTTTTTTGCTTGAAACCCTGGAAAATTGTTCGATTTGATATTGAGGGCATATGCATACAGGCGTAATAGGAAAGTTGGAAAATTACAAATAGAAAAATACTATATAAGAGCGAAAGGTGTTGCGATTTCTTTCCAATATTTTTCTGATCTTTTTGCCTCTCTGTTTACTTTTTACTAGTCTCTCTGTCGCAAGTCGGCCTTTGTCACACTGTTGTATGTCTTTACGAGACAGCTTTTGTTTTACTCCGGCCTTCAAAAATATTTCCTCAAATTCTCTGCTGAATCCGTGTTCATCCAACTTGCTAGAACAAGTTCCCGCTCGCTGTACGGGTTCCTCCCAGAGATCTCAGTCAACCAAACGTCCCCTGAATTGACGTCATACGTTAAATCTACCGCTATTTGTGGCTTCCCCTTGTTCCAACCCCGATCCCGAACGCGTGAGAATCGATCGGGTGTTTGTCACTCGATGGCACGTTTTCGATTCGCTTTGCCGAGTTGAACAGAGTGTGATGTGTGAAAAAAGAATTGTGTGTGGAACTGCCGTGGAAGTTGCCCTTGCCTTGGGGAAGATGAATTCAAGGCTGCTTAACATGCTCTTTGCCTTGTGGTAAAAGGCCAGGGAACGTACGTAGGCTTCCAGCTGCCTCCAGAATCATGACATTATAGGTTTTTAAAGCGTGGCGCTCCTCGGGGTTGAAGAGTGGTCTGGGAATGTAATCTCTCTCTCAGGCTTAGACAGTATTCCGAGATTTCAAGAAATGCCTTGAGTTTATAATTAAAGTGCTAAGAATCACGACATCTGATTTAAAGGGTGGTCTCCTCAAAGTTAAGACGCATCCTGAGAACTAGAGATGCCTTGAAATTCGCAACAACGATGATTTTTGAGCTTGTGGTAGCTGAACCCCAGAGAAATCATATACCCCCTGAGAGCTACACCAAAAGTCGTGGCCACATCCAGCAGCAGTGGAAGGCCGTAAGAAGACAACCAACAGGGGGCATACATAAATTTCCTCTCATTGAGCACGGAAAGAAACGCCCCAGGTAAATGCCTGTAGCATCTGGGGAGAAATACCCCCCGGGAACAATACTCTTGGACAAGTGACTCTTCCACAAAGGGAGGAGAAATTGTCAGAAAGCAAGCAAGCCATTGCGGTTAAAACCATTTTTGCAGTCTAACAAGAAATTGCTCCCCGCCAGAGACGTCATGTTCACGGAATGCAGGGCGCCCCCCCTGCTTGCCTGCTTGCATAAATAGTGGAAGAATCACCACATCCTGCCAATCAATGAAACCAAGGGCCTTTGCTGAACCGGGTATGAGTGGAGTGGCGGCCAGGCTCAAATCCTGGCGTCTGAATCTTGGAGCATTGAGTGCGTGCTGCTTCGCTGGGAACCAGAAATGGGGTGCCACGAGAAGATATATTTGGAAAGGAGGAGCGAGATGTGTTCCGCTGGTCGGCGCCCAGCAGCTGTCAAGCAGTATCCAGGCTTTGTCCGTAAGATCTATATAGACGTTCTGAGAAACGAACAGGGTAACCCCGATTTTTAACTGCATCTGTTTTCGCTTATCCATGCCAGAATCTTGTCATTTCGAAATGGGCCCCACACAAGAAGCCATCTACTACTTGCAAAGCTACCCGACAGGATTCTGCGATATTCCTTTGTGTAGTATGGACTGCCATATGCAGGGAAATCGACGGCGAAATAGTCTGCTCGAACCTCGGATAGGTACCTGTGACATCACTCTCTTCAGGTCGGCTGTTGACAGCGAAAGCCACCAAGAGGCGAGACCATCGCCTTTGCAGTAGTTCCGTTAGTTGCTATGATATTCAGCGCCCATCAGATTGGCGTTGGGTGTCCGAAAAGAGAAAATTCAAAGGAAAAGGTAGATCTAGGATAGTGCGGAAAAAGTCCATGGTCACCAACTTTGCCAGAAGTTGGGAAATGTGCGGGATCCCGCGACAAGGAGCGAGGGAGTGCGTTCGAGAACTCTGCTCCCATCATCCATGGTGAGGGGGAAATCTCTGTTGAAGCCACCCTCTGCCATCTTGGCCATGCGGATGTCCTGATCTCTATTTTACTGCACTTGCTGCGGTCGGGCAGCATTGAACTGGACATATCTTTCCCTCAGCCGTGCATTTTCACTGAACATCTGTGAGACTTGGGCAGTTTGTATATAATGAGGCGGGAGGGCACAACTAAACATCCACCGCTCCGTCGTGCTCTTGAACAGTTCCTCCTCCGGAGGCGAACGGTTCGGAGGGATAGGCAACAAACGGGCACGGTAACTACATCATGGCTTTCTTAGTTCTCCGACGGCGCAGCAACCAATTTAGCCTGCATGTTGGGCTGGCGATCAAGACGAAACATGGAGCCTGCTAAGGAGATTGTTGTGACAATGCCATCTCGTGGACGTGAGAGGTGAAGGGAATAAGAATCTCAGTTGGGATAGAAGCCCCATGCCCTCTGTGATAGTAATTGACGAAGCGGTTGGCTGTATTTGAAATGGAGTTCGCATTCCGGACTGCATCAAACTGAGGGGGGGGGGGGGGGGGGGGCATCAAGAGGTTGCGGGGTTTCAATCACTCGCGGCGGTGGAAGAATTATTCCTCTCCTGCTCAAGGCCAGCGGATGGATGCGTTTGGCTGAACAGCATCTGGGATTATTTTTTGTATTGTATTTTTGATTAAGTTCTACCAAAAGATAATATACAATTTCCAAACTTTCAATGAAGTAGTTTCAGATTTTCTCTTCTTCTGTCAAGAGTCATTTGAAACGGTGGAACCGTGGATGGAATGACAGCCACCGACTCCGTCGTCTGACCGTCTTGTCTGTTGCGCTGCTATTCCTCACCTGCTTGCGATGCATATTAAATTAAATCAGAAAAAATAATTAATTAATTAATTAAAATAAAAAATGAGAAAAAGCAGTTTGTACTCCCTGGTTTATGTTCGTCAGCCGGCGATTATTAGTTAGCTGCTGCTGTGACATCTTTCTCTGCCAACTTTCTCTCTCAAGAATCACCCTCCTCCTCTCTCTACGCTACGGAGTAGATAGATATCTAGGAATCAACAGCTAGATACACCCCTGCATGCATCAGCGACTACTCTCCATATTCCTTGCATGTGAGAGGTGAGGGCTTGTCAGGCTGAGGGGACGAGTGACCCGCAGACTCGGTTTCCCCAGCCCTTGATAAAAGAACCATTTAACAACAACCGCCTGTTCTTATTTATTCATCATTCCACCCAGCCACTTCTTCCGTTTTCCCCATGCTCGTGCTCTTGGTACCCCTCATGCCCTGTTTTGTTTTCTGATCTTGTCCTGAAAAGCCGCCTGACGTGCGCCGCCGCTGCCAGAGCCTTGCGTAGTTACCAATACGATATGAGAGCGCCAGAAACGAGGAGCTAGATATATTACTGCTTCACCTACCCACCATCAACACGCCCGTCCCCTTCTCTCTTGTCATTTCGTCTCTGCAGACCAACTGATTCACAGTTTCTTCCATTCCTCTCCTCTCCTCTCTACCCTAAACCCACTTCCTCAATTCACGATGAGTTCGACCTCAGCTCCAACCCAGGAGTCATCCTCCGATAATAATAACAAGTCCAGCGCGGGCGTGACTCACTGTGCCTCTTCCAACCCCAGCACCACCATCATTGAACCCCCACGGTGCTCGAGATGCCAAGAGAATCTCAACCTTCAGAATCCCTCGTTCCCCCCCGGCTTTGTTCGATTCGGCATGAACTCATACTACTGCAGCCGCTGTGCGTTCATGGTGGGGTACAACAATCGCTGAGAAACATCATGGTGGCTGCAAGACGAAACTGATTTAAACACGGTCATTTCATTCTAAGCACCGAAAAGAAAACAGCTCTAATCCTCTCTCCAAACCAAATCCAAAACCCTTTCGCACTTTTCAAGGCAAAATTATAAATTCGCAGATGACAAAAAATCAAATTAAAAAAAAAAAAAAAGAAGAGAGAAGAAGAGAAAAGTAAAGAAAAATCCAAATCCAAACAGGGAATCTGTGGACGAGATTGCGGACTGCATGACAACTTGAAAAACTCACCGACCAATCGAAGCCTGACCACTACCAAACGTTCATGCTGGAAGAGAGAAAAAAAAAGGTATCCTAAGCAATATTAATCGATGAGGGGAGGAGATGAAAACCAACAAGGTGCCGATATGACAAGGCGAAGCCAGCCCTGCTAACGAAACTGGTTTTTTGATATTTTCTTCTTCACCATTCATTTTACCTGCTTGCTCAGCACGAGACCGAATTTCCGAAGTTTCCTTCATAATTCCGGCTTCTTTCCATGTCGATTGTATCGTTTGTATTGAAATCATCTTCACCGCTTGTTTTTTTTTTTTTTTTTTTTTTTTTTTTAAAAAATTTTTTTTTTATTTATTACGGTGAAGTCGAAAGTTCCCAGCCTCTCACGAGCCGGATCTGGCATTTTCTTACTTTTGTGGCTCCTGTAACTAACATTTCCGGGACTCCGAAAAAAATACAAAAACAACAAATCGATGGAAACAGGAACAAATCACGGGATACGGTCAAAGCGAGAGGAGACGTGTAGATGGATGAACAATACCATCTGGGGGGGGGGGGGAGGGGGGAAAGCTACCCCGCTCTCTTTAACCGGCCGTTTATTGCCATTGCATGAGCTCTGTCAGAAAATACGCATATGCCAATATTGGGTAGTATCTCAGCTCGCCCTTTTTCAAAGCACGCAGTGCAACCTTTTTCCAATGTGTTCGGTTTCCTCATGAAGCGGTGGCAATCTCCACCCCCAACCTCATTTAAATACCCCGGAAACTGTTCTCGGGAACCTGTACGCAAAAGGTTTAAAGTTTGGCTAAAATGCGGCCAGTTTCAAATGTCGATCATCGAGGCGCTCTGTTTTCCTTTTTCTCTCTTCTAGTGTCACTGCCAACAACAATAGCATCCAAGACGTAAACAAAGCGGGGGGCTGTAAACTACACACTATTTTCACGATCACGCGAAGAGATGAAGGAAGGCGAATGTGGTGGTTTCTCAAATTTTTCTCATTTGCGTGCCATTCCCAGGCCTATTGCGGAGATTGTGATGGGAACAGGAACCCATCCCTTCAACGGCATTCTCTCCACACCCCATTCCATTTCTCTCTTGTTCTATGTCAGTCGCTTTCATTTTGCTTTCCTCACATCCAGTCCCCTCCATTTCCATCATCGCCATCATCAATCATTCGAACCAACCGCACTTTGTTATCTCGTTATTATTGTATTATTGTTTTATGTTTGTTATACTTTTTTTTTTTTTGGCTCAAATGATATCCCATCTCGGTTTGTGTTTCTGCTATATTATTTGGGTTCCTTTTCCAGCCGCGTGATATCTCAATGCATATGACGGATCTTATCATAGCATATCTTCATGTACGACAGTCTTGGGTGTCGTGTATGCTCAAAACCGACTGCTGGTAAGGAGTTGTGGGTTGGAGGGGGAGAAGTTTCATGTTCCTTAGCGTCTGGAGCTTTGCAAAACGGCTCATTCAGCAAGGATTCTCATCTATCATTATCTTGCCTCACTGCTCTGTACTGGACTTTACATATATCTCTATGTTTGTTATCTATTAGCTTAACATGTCATCTTGCAGTGTTGATCAGTTCCCTCTATCCGCACAACCCTGGACATTGCGTCAGCCCGTGTACATGGGGGTCCGCGGAGTTCATCGTCGTGGGACATCGGGGGGTGTAAGATATCCTCAACAGCCACGGTTACAAAGCACAGTACTCCGTAACTAACTAGTCAACTAACTAACTAGTTAACTACATGTCTGAGTAATGAGTGACTCATGAAACTACCGATCCTCCCCGCTTCCCACAGATGTATACCGTGGGGTATTCAGCCTGAGAGGAAAGGACGGAAATAATTGCTGTTAAAGATCTCACCAAATAGTTACCACCTCTGCAACCCCTCCTGAGTTCCAAGGGCGACATGCTAGCATCCGATTGAGAGATATTCACTCATACGGTGTACGCCTATCTTCCAATGTAATATACAGTATAGCAACAGTAGATACACCGAGTTCAGCCATGCAGATCAAACACACTGGCAGAACGGCAAGCTTTCCTTCATTCCCAGGGTTGCTAACTCCGAGAACGACTCTGTCGTCGAACATAGGTCACGTGGCGGAAGGGTCCGACTAACAATCAACATGAGAGAGGTTACAGAGTTAACCGCCTTTCTTTCTAATGACGTAGTAGTTAACTTGACTTTTTTGAAGCCGTGATAGTCAGCACTGGCACCGTCACAATTGACGGTCACAGGTTGCGTTCACGTGGGCTCGCTGTGCCTGTCGCCCGGCATATGTGACACTCTGCAGCTAGGACAGCGGTGCTTGCAGACATGTAGTTAGCGGGTGCGGAGACAAAGTGGATGGATGCCTATTGCTTTTATTGGTGGCAGTGGGATTGTCGAAGGGTTTGCGGCCGATGATTTGAACCTGCACTGGGATTTGGATTGGGATCCACAGCTCTGGTGTGGCGCTGGTTTCAACGACGACATTGCGATCTCTCTCTCTCTCTCTCTCTCTCTCTCTCTCTCTGTGTGTGTGTGTGTGTGTGTGTGTGTGTGTGTTGGCTCTGGGGCATGGAAATCGTATGCAGCGCGTTTCTCATATTCGGGTATATTTCGTAGAACTTCCGATCATCAAGAGTGTGTTGTGGGGTTCATAGGGTATATATTCACATATACTGCGACATTCATGTACTGGGCAGATTATATTTCATGCTGACATGCTGGCTGGGCATCCTGCCCTTTCAGTCCTTTATGTGCATCGAACAGCTGCATCACATACTTGTACGTGTAGCTATCTGTAATATATGCACACACTGCATATCTTGCGAGTCAAACATTTTCTTCATGAGCAATACTCAACGTATCAGATCACTTCTTCTTACCAGTCTCTTCACCCTCTCATCTCCCACTCTGGGAGAGCGAAGACATGTTCTCTCCTGACATTAAACGCAAAGCTCTCTGGCTTGAATCTTTGCAAACTGGCAATTTTCATGAAAGCACGGAACTGCATAATCGTTCAGTGAGAGGATCTCAGCACTTCCCATGAAATGCTCACACTGGGCCATGTTGCTTTTGACGAATAGCTCTGAGGCTGGCTGACCGTAGACTGTGACGGCGAAAAGGCATCAGCGGGTTACAGCGAAGATAGCCTCTAGTATCTGCAGCCAGAATCATTGATTGCACTAATCTATAGACCGAAGCAAAAAAAAGCCTCGGATATTCAGTTCACAGCCCTGGTAAGAGAATGATGTTTCTTTCTTTTAGTCCGCCGATGTTACTTGAAAATGTCCAAGTTTGCCCGCAAAAGGGGTAACAGTGTGGTTGATCGCGATGAAGGAAAATTAAAGTCAAATCGTTTCATTGAAACGAAACTATTTTTTGGGAGTTTTTGGTTTGGCGCATCATGACGTCATGGAGGAATAAAAAGGCTTATCAACCCTTCGGCAATCCGACAAACACTTATCAATGAGAAGCATCTTTCAGACGAAAGTAGCTCTGATCTGAATCAATCTCAACGACATGGGTAATTGTCCAGCTGCCTTCTTTATTGCGCAGGCCGTAGGCTTGAGCGGCGCTGCTTGGCTTTCTGGTGAGTGTTTTATTTCCCGTCTTGTGTTCACCCGACGATGTACTACGCGTCCAGATACTCAGGCGGAGGTCTATTGTAACTGGACTCTCACCATCGAAAGACGACATCGAGTTCAAAACAACATCAAACGCGCAGTGGCAGTTGGCCCATGCTGATCATGCACACGACAAAAAATCTCAGGCAACATCGCTGCTTACAGCCTCAACGTCTGTCCAGCCCTCTTTAGCTCCGCCCAAGAGAACAACCTCGCCCCCAGCACCGTTGCAAAGATATGGCGAAATGTATACAATCTGGGCTACGCGCAGAACCCACCCGTTAGCATGGTTACGGCCGCCGCATTCTTTTATCTGTCTTGGGCCACCCGTTCTGGAACAGCGATGCTCCATGAGAAAACAGGATGCACAGCGTCACTGTACTCTTCCGCCGGTATTCTCACGTTGCTCATAATCCCGTACACCTTTACGGTCATGGCCGGGACGAATAATGGGCTAATCGAACAGTCGAAGCTGGTCGAGTCGGAACCCGTGGCTAAGATGATGGGAGCGAATAGTGAGACGGAGCGTCTGATGCGGAAGTGGGTTGTGCTCAATGGAGTGCGAGGTCTCATTCCCTTGTCAGGCTTTGTGGTGGGGCTTTATGCAGCTCTGGGAAGGCCGTTTCGCTAGAGGTGTGTGTATCGGTGACTATCTGTAGTGGAGGAGGAGGTTTAAAATCTTCGAGTAGTTCTCCCTCTTGGACTTGCCGCTATGAGTGTTGTTGACGGCATGGAGCTTTTTCATCCTGATATTATATGCTTGATTCGTTAAAACTGCAAAAGCAAAATAACTGTTTCAGTGCGAATTAATAGTGTAGATAGCACATAAAAAACGACGAAGAGGAAACTTTCCCCGCCCCTTGCTTTACCGTCGTTTGACTACCACCGAATGAGACGTATCTATACCAGCTTCAACAGCAAAGTAGAATGCTCAATTGATTCCTACAACTTAGCCATAGATACAGCTAGGGAGATGTTAACCTTAAACAAATGATGGTCTATCTCAATCTTCGCTACAGCTGGAGGCCCGCATTTCGTGGTCACAAAAAGCCCTCCCTGCAACGCTACTTGAGGGGAATTGGGCTATACGTTGAATCATCTATGAGATCTTCGGATTGCTGCCAGCATGTAGGGTTGCATCCATGGGAGCTCAATTGTCGTTGCTTTGATATTTCTCCTTATCAGAGGTTATTGGATTTGTGCTCCACCAGGCGTTATGAGGATCAAGGAAATGCAAATGTGATTCGGTTTGGGAGTACCATAACTGCACTTTCACAACTGAGCATATTCGTATTTTTCGAATGCCATTGAAGTTCGGTATCTACGGTCGGTTGAAATTGTGAAAAGGATATCAACCAGTCAATAATGCACCTCTGCATTCTCACCCTCATCCTTTCTCCCTTCTCTCTTTTGCAGATATCTTGACTCCAGAAATCAAGTGTCACTCCCTAGTTGACTTATATATGTGGGCATTAATCACAGGCCAATGGCCATGTCAGACAGACATATAGACGAAATAACATCTGGCGCAATTCATACCCAGTGCCTTTGAACACGATATCGGCGACATGTTGCTGTAGATAATGATATGCGTCTCTTAACGTGGAGCTAATTTGATGCACCCGGCAGGTTCAGAGCTTGAGCAGAATGGCAGCGAAGATCCATGAACCTTTGGCTTAGTTTCAGGCCGAGAGAAACTTTCCAGGAGTCTAAAAGAGACCAGTTGACGCTTAGGATAGGACGAGAGGGGCTATCTTGGTTAGCCGACTGCTGAGCTCAATAATGACATTCATAGGCGTTTGCTATAGCAAACACCCACTGCTGCCTCTTCCTGTCCTCTCAGAAGGAAGACGGGAGGCAGAGGGGAGAAAGAAGAGACCCGGCCCTTTGAAAGTATCGACACCCCGAGCCTTATGCCTCTGCAATAAAATAAAATCAGCCATTCATGGTCCTCAAACAAGCGCCCAGGACGAAATGAAGGGCAAAATAAAATAGCTATGCAGCACAACTGCGCAAATGGGACGATGATTGTCACACAAAAAAAGCCAAAAAAAAGCCAAAAAAAAAAAAAAAAGTAATATCCATGCAATGTTAGGTATGTGACTCGCCCTGCAAGACACCGTATTTATGCTGCAGTTGAAGAGCAGCCTGAGGCAGCAGTTAAATAGTGCAGATACCTAAATCTCACCAAAAGGACAAGTAGCAGAGTTGCTGATTATCTTTCCCCTATTGTACAGTAGTTTCGACTAGTTACCTGGTCGGATGCTCTGAGAGGATTATATAATAGTTAACTAATTAACTGACTAGTTAGTTATTGGGCCTCTAGAAGCTTTGAGGGTTAAGTTGACGTTGTTGGCTAAATAGTCCATCCTAACTATCTATCCTCGTTGAGATTTTTCTGAGGCTGGATTGTTCCTTAACGCAGTTTGCTGTGGTTTGGCCAACTGACTCAGGAACCCACAATCAAGCAGCAGCCTGGCAAGCATGTAACTTAACTATGGAGTGGTTACTGTACAGCATATCATTGTGACATTTCCTGCAAATATCCTGATTTAGAGGTCGATGCTTTTGACGCAGCAATCCAAGCCTCATTCCTCCTCTTTTTCTTTGGTACGAACCTGGGGTCGCCCATCAATCACTGCAGCGTTTGTGACTCGTAACTTTTTCCCACACTATGGGTTACGGATACATACCATCATGCACATCTACGACCTGCTCCTCGGTGGCAAGAACTGCGTAATGTGTGTGGGAAATGAACCTGCATACCATACCTACATATATCCATTATGTACATGAGGGGGATTCACACAGACATTGATTGTACCAGTGGTTGTTTGAGATGACCCCCTCTGCGTGGCAACAGCTGAACTAGCGATTTGTGAAAGCCAAACCAGCAACGCAGACGCCGGAGGGGGCATTGGTGATCGCCATCCCGCTCGCCAGTCTTGGATTCTCTGGGGGGGAGGCAAACTCTCTCTGCCCCTCTTCCAAGTCATTTGTGGACTCAAGACGCTACGGGTTTCGAGTTACTGGCTAGCTGGCATTAGCTAACGGTTGTTGACAACTTTGACATGTTTCCGTACTTTGATCAACGGTTTATATTGACCGAGAGAGGCGATGGAGATTAAATCCATGGAGGGCATCCGTGCGTCGAAATTTGGCACGACGGTTGGACTGCCCTGGCGGCGACTTGTTGCGAATGCGTCTGGAACCACTGTTGTGCAAAGAATTGCCCTATTGTTGTCTTGTTCGCATTTTTCAACCACTTGGTTGCCTTGTCTTAATCCCGCGTCCGCTGGTCCTGGATAAAATTTACCCGCGTCATGATGAGCATTTCCCTGGGATCCGGCGCTGGAAGCTTGCTGATCAAGTCGTTGATTCTCTCTCACCTATCAATTCCGGTTTCTGCAGAATATGCAGCTGAGGGATCCTATTTCTGGCCGATCCTGTCTACAAATCATTGATGCTAATTCTGTCCAATGACGGGGGGGGAACCCTCCCCTGAATTGGTGTTTCCTACAGAGGATATTCTTCTGCTATTGCAGACACAGACCCTTTGGGACTAAAAAATATTCCCTGTGCTTCCCATGGCCCATTGAAACAGGCAAAAGAGAGGCGGTCATATGTTTGCTGCACTGCAATGTGTATATATTTCGACACCTCATATGCACCACATCCAGATGGAGCACAGCAGTGCCAGCAGATGAACCTTGGCCGACCAGGGTCTTCCCAGAAGATCGTCCCACCTGAAAAAAGACCAGATCATTGGTCGATGAATCTAAGATCTTTTCCGTGTGCTAATTACATTGTATTATTATTATCATTATCATCATCATCATCATCATCATTATTATTTATTTTTTGGTTTCAAACCCATTTCAGGGTTCCAGAACAGTATTATCCGGCCAGACCAATAAGAATACCTGTTTTCACCCAGCGATATATGAGTGTATGTCAAGAGTTTTGTTGACTTTCTGGTCAGTTCAACCTCCTCCCCAATCACTCGACATTTGTTTGCAAAAGCTTTTTTTCCTGCCTTAATCTTCTAGGAAAAACCGAAGCTTCAATCCCCGTCAAATCACCTCCCATGGAAAGCTTAACGGTGTATCATGGCCCGGCCCCGATCCATTTATTGCGTCTGTTTTTACAAGGGGTTTGCGCCCCGTTAATGGCGTTTCTTTGTTTGGTCCTAAATCTAAAGAAAAAGAAAAGAAGTGGTTAAGATCGGTCTGATCACCTAACTGGGCCGCACCGTCCACACCAAGGTGAAGCCTCGGAATAGACTGACAGGTTTTACCTTC